ACTCGGTCGCAAGCAATGTCTCTTGACCGTCAAAGGTGGGAGGCGAGCACTGGAGATTTCGCATAGCGCCCTCGACGTCTCTGCTAACAAAGCGGCCTTGACGGAGGTTCTCTGCGAAGAGGAAGAAACCTTCCGCGGCTTCGACGAGGTACGATTGTAGTCCCTTGCTCTCCAGCCGGATGATGGCGTTGGAAACAGGGTAGTGGTTCTCAATAAACCGGGCCCAGCCGCGCGCCGCGGCTTGGATGTGTTGGTCTTCGCTGATGCGTCTCCAGCCAATGCCGAGGTGAAGGGTGAATTGGTCGACGACTGGTTGCGCAGAGCTCTCTGATGAAAGAGTTGTGGATGTGGACGCCGTAGCTGGCTGGGCTGCATGGAGATTTGGCATGACGGCCTGGGTAAGGCGTTGGGATTTGTTGCTGCGTAGAGATGGGCGTTCCTGCTGCTCGTGGAGACGTGTGATGGCCTCTTGTGTTTTGCGAGCGTCATCTTGCGCAGCCTTCTCTTCGACCCAGGTGCCAGATTGACTACCAGCATCCGCGACGTAGCTACCCTTCTTGATGAGAACCATACCAGGGCCGTACTCCCACTCTTCTTCGGGTTCTTTGGGTGCGGTATGGTGTTCGGGCTCGTCGGTCACCAGGTTGGGGGCAGCCTCGTCGCGCGAACGTTTGCGACCAGCGACTCGAAGGCTTCCGGCGGGCATTGCCGGCGGTGCAGGGCAGCGTTGGAAGGCGGCGGGCTGGCCAAAGGGTGTGACTTGGGGAGAGAATGGGTCCATGCTAAAGCTCGCTTGATGGGCGGGCTGAGGAGGAAGAGCCATGACGGGGGAGCCAGCGGAGAAGGAGTGACCGAAAGGAGACATGGCTGTATAGTTAGATCTGCGCAAGGTAAGTTCAGACTTCAGATTCAAGTAACTCTTTTACGAATCACGATGTGTTAGTAGTTGAGCAAGACGTTGGTCGCGAAGTCCAGTGGCTAGATGGACGTGTTGTCTGGTAGAGTTTGAGGACAGTCGTTCGGCGTCGGCGAGGCGGTTGTAAAGGTGAACAAGATGGCGACGACTGGGTGGTGATGGAAAGTGAATGGTGATTGGTAGGTTGAGATGGCTAGACCCGAGTGATGGTGGGTTGGGGCAGGTTGGTTGAAAGGAGGAAGGAGCTGTTCAGGACCAGATGGGAGACTGAGCAGTTAATGGAAGAGTGTGAAGGCGTCTGACGAGATGGCAGGAAGCAGACATGTAAGAGTTCAGGGTGGTATGTGTAGCAGGAAGGAAATTGAGGTTGTCCCAGAGACAAAGACTAGACGAGCTGCGGCAGGAGAGTGGATGAACTGTGGTAAGGAAGAGGGAGGGAAGGCGCCGCCAGGAGGAGGTGGGCGAGAGAAGAAGGAGCTATCCTTTTGTATCCTACAAGGTCAATTGAGAGACGGAAGGAAAACGCGAGCAACGGGTAAGAGGCAGGAAAGGGCCGACGAAAAGGTTTGGACCTGGAGGGTTGGATGCGTGGTAGACAAGGGAATGCCGCCTTCCATTTGCGAGCCGTCCTACCCCCGGTACCCCGGTCTCACCTCAGGAAGTGTCGTTGCGCTACGGAGAGACGCTCAGCTTTCAAAGTGCACCTCAGTCTGTACGAAGTGGGTACGTACCCGTCGAGCCAAGGAGGGAAAGCACAGCTTCAGGATGGCAAGTGAGTTTGGGCGTATCACAGATCATCTTGAGCACGGGCGCAATTTCTTAGTCCGTCTGAGAAGAGACTTCCATAATGCATGGAGAACACGGGCAAAGGTCGGTACTCTGGTCTCCACCCATCAGCCCAGTTCTCCCCATAGAGTTAGCATCAGTCAGTCACCTTTGTATCAGCAAACGAGGCACGCGAGGCAAACTTATATCTTGCCCCCAACGCGTCCATGCCGAATCAGGGCTAGCTAGGACGCATGCTTGCCCGCAGTTGCTACAGCTGCAGCCCATCGTCGCATTGCACGCCTCGCTACGATAGATCCAGGGGCTTTGCGACTACCCACACTAAGTACATGATGGGCCCCCGTTTTCCGAATATTCGCTTGCCCGCGACCTCGATAGTTAAACAGTGAGACTGCTTCCTTGACTACAGGTAGGTCATTGGCGGGGCACCAAGTCACGGGTGTCTTCCATCTGCATTTCATCCAGTTGACCGTTGATCTCCGTAGCTTAGACGCAAGTATTCTCGTAGTATGTGGTCGTTTGTCAAAGTAGATGGGGACGGGCGAGTACACCTGGCAGTTGAACGCGTTGAGACTCATCAGAGCCAGCCATTGTAGTTAGTAGGTTGGTCTCGTGAACGACAGCTTCGTCCCGTGCCTCGCCGGGGATGATTCCTGCTAGTCGGATGCCGAGTAACCTCTTTCTCGCGATGGCTGTTCGCAATGCACTTGTACCTCGGTGAGGACTTGGCAACTTCCTGCAGTCTCTGAGCGATGCCTTCCCTCCAACTTGCCGCTGCGAGCCCGGCTGCTGCCAATGGAGGAGACATACATCGCGCTGAATTGAAATAATGCACTCTTCAAAACGAACTTCATAAAGTTTGTCGGGCTACACTAGCGCCAATGACGACTCCATCTGAAGATCAACAATGATGCGCCTGGATCCTACCGTCATTCGCATAACTCTCTCGGAGGTCAAGCAATACGAACGTCAACGCAAGGCACAAGACCGCGGCGGTCGAGGTAACGATGCCCATTCGAGCCGACAGGCACCTACGAGTGGCCTGCTACATGACCCGCTGCGACTCCGTTTCGTGCCAGACAGTATTTTACCCGGCCAAGAGAGTATCGAGATACATAACAGTCCAACCGCCTTTGACCATCACGGTGACGATGAGGATGGTAAAACCATTGTTGATGACAGCGAAAAGATGGACACGTCCTCTATTGACAACGAAGATGAAGGAGAAGAAGACGGAAACGAGTCGATGGGAGATACTCACGAGGACCGGTTACCGGGCCTAAAAATGCCGAGGCTACCGCTACCTCTGCCCTTCTCCGCGACAGCGAGAGTAACAACAGCAACGAACCACCCTGGAAATGTATGTTGTTGCTCCTGAGAATAGCACCACCCAGCGGTTACGCTGACACCGACCATCTGACAGATCGTTCGGCTGCCAAGGGGCTTGCGACATGGTGAACCAAGACGCATTGCACATTTGTCACCAGAAACGCCGTCAACCCGGGCAGCTGCTGTCATCTCCCGACATAACGACCTATCAACGAGACAGACTTCGCGACAAATCACACTCCACGATAACGATGCAGCGGACACATGGCAGTCGCATGCTCCAGGTGACTCGACCGAAGCTCAGCAGCTTGGTCGGCTGCAGCCACCTTTTCTGCCGAGTATATCAAGTCCGTCCTCAAGATCACCTCGACTTGGTGAGAGAGCAAACATCACCGCTAGAGGGATTCCTCCCGAAGCCATCCGACGACTCGGCGTCACGGTGGACTCGGAAGAAACAGGCGAACAAGGAATGAGCATGTGGCGTCTAGTAGCACCTGCCCAGCATGAACAAGACGAGGTACAGAACTTGGAAGACTAATAGAAGGCGAGGCGACGGGAGCAGAAGCTCGTTGAAGAACCACTCCGGGCCCCCTATCAGACTTGCATTGATAAGTAATCTATATCGGCAGTGACTACTTCACGGGGCAACCCGGCTACTTGGGCGAAGAAAGGTTGACCAACACCGCAGAGAGAAGAGGGTGTTCTGCGATGAGCTAGCTGTACAGGACGGCGTTTGCAGTACAAGTACATTAGCTGAAGCGACTGCTCAAACATAATAGACATGAGACATTGTGAGACTCTTCAGATCGTCCCAGCCAGTGAGGGTCGCAGACTCTGGAATGTGCTTGTTAGACTTTGGCCGATCTTGGACTTCTGGAGACCTTCCATCATTCCACGAGATACCGTGGTGATGCTGATAATCGCTCTTGGTTTCTCGACAGCTGTAATCATCTTCCAGAGCCATAGACCTAAGCCAATTTTTCAGTCGGCCTAAAGTGAGCAGTGAGTCTCTAGCAAAGCCACACCACCAAGCCTGACGCGCCACATTTGCGATTGACGATGAAGAAAGGGGGTGGTCATGGCCGAGTGGGCTGGCCGACACACTTCTCTCAGTAGTCATTGCTCACTACCAAATGGTTCTAAGCCACATTGGATGGGCACAACGGCAGCCAGGTCGGCATAGAGAACTGCTTGGTTTCTAGATGTTGATGGGACAAGAGGTTGAGTTCCTTACAAGCTGTAAAGAAAGGATTCACTCAAACTGCGCAGGAAGTAGGCCTTCCATGCAGCACAGTGGAACTAGATGTAATTTACTCATGGGAGGTCCATGTGTTTTTTCCGCGGGAGCCGACAAGAAGAGGCGTATTGTTCAAGCAGTCTTCATCAACTAAGCCAGGCGAGATCAATGCCCAATCACAAAATCACACAAAGCCGAGGCAAAGGATTGGTGTTGGTTCATGATGTTATTGCACATCTAACAAATACAGTCATCGCCTCGTCTCAGTCATCCCAAATGCCTATGCCGACATGCTCCCAGTGAGTTTCCGCCACATCTTCTGGGGCCCTGCGCAACCAATGCTTTTTGCTTCCCTAGTTTGCCTTGTGATGAAAATGAACAAACTGAAAAATGAACTAACCAAAACAAAATTGACCGCTGCCCGCCAAAGCTCCTCGCAATGCTTCATGAGATTTTCCAAGCCGAGCAATATAAATGCCACAAAAACTCCACTTCAAAATGTCCTGAACCTATGTCTATCATTCCTCTTTTGCTTCCCCAATAATGCATGTTGGATAATGTTCTCCTGCCAGGTAGATTTGTAATTTGATGCCAGAATACAAAGTCGAAGTGGGAATGTTGGGCAAACGCCGAGAAGGGTGGAGAGAAAATTGGTATCATGGCTTTGCTTCAAGCACTTTAAAAAAAAAAAAAAACACCAGAAGTACGAAATTGAAAAAGGAAAGTGACAGGCTAGCTGGAGGTGCTGCTAGCTCTGCGCACCTCAATGTTGATATCTTTGGGTGAACCTGCCATGCTGAAGACTCGGTGCAAGAGGCTACGCTTCGTCATGCTCGTCCGTCGGTATTGGTAATCATCGTCGCAAGAGCACGGTAAAATCGGGCTACTTTGCTGGCTTTGCCGCTTAAGCTCAGCATCCCACCCATAGAGATCCTCATCGGGTGCGGCATGACAATACGATACAGGCTCGTCGTTAGCCATTGCAACGGCCTCATCCTCTGGTGGAGGATGAACGTTGATGCCCAGCAGGTTCGAAAAGTCCGTGAACCGACAATCGATTGGCGGAGATACGGGTAGAGGCAGCTGGCTTGCATCAACTTCCTTAGTAGTGAGCTCGTCGCAAACACCTCTGCCTGTCGGTTCGCCAGAATCTTCTGGCACAGCAGGAGGCATAGCCAGAGTGGGTGCCGCAGGAGGAGTGATTCCCATGTTTTGAACAGAAATGGGCTTCAACTTGGCGTCTTCGGATATCTCCGTGGTGATCCTCAAGGGAGCGGGAGTGTTGGTTCGCGACCGAACTCGAATAGGGCGTCGTACCATCCAGGGCCGTGGGTTGTGGTAAGCGCTAAATTCCTTTGCGGCCATGCCACCTTTGCATCCACCATTATTGATGTGTTGTGGACCAGCAAAAGCAACCTTCTTAATTTCACTGCCGGCCTCTGACGCCGCGAGAGGTAGTCGTTTGCCTGGATGAGGCTCCTCCCACGGGTTGAAAAGGTGACGGACACGTGAGAAGCCGTCCAGAGGGAGGTGAGAAGATGATGTCGCTGGTGTGGTGGATGTAGTTGATGGCATGACCTCTGGTTCCTATAAAGGGTTGCTCTGGCTGCCTTCAGCCATGGTGACGTCCCCATCAGTGATTGGGGCCGATGATGTCGGGTTGTTTCGTCGGTTAGAGCGTGACTTGCGATGGAGACCCAGCTTGGCGCCAACCTTCTTCCACCCGTTATTGTGTGCGGTCAATGCCCGTTGAAGTCCACCTGGGGAGGTACTGAATGTCCAGTCTGAAGTTGGCGGAGTAGTGGGAGGAGTCATTGGCTCTGTGCCAGGAGAAACAGCGCTTCCACTATCATCTGTCAATCCCTCGCGTTCAGCGTGTTCGCCAGACGCAGAAGCCGATCGACTTGTGGCACCACTGCGACCCAAAGTCAGCTGGGGTAGGAACTTGGGAGACTTCACGGGCTCTTCTGACCTAGCCCCAGCACCCTCGGCCCGAAGGCGCAGGCGACCAGGTCGGCCTTCGTCCTCCGCCGTACGGCAATCGCCATGGCCCGGTTGGACCGACTCGATGAAGGGAACAAGTACAGAATCGTTCATGAGCTCGTAGACGATTCTGACGGCGTCGTCGAGTTCACTTGGAGGAGGTGGGGCGGAGGAGCAGTCCAGGTTCGTAAGATGATTCCGCACGGGCGAAGGAAGATTTACCTCGCGCGGCGCGTATGGAATGATGTATGCTTGCATGAGCTTCTCCCACAATGAGCAGACATGCTCTTTACCATCGCCGATCCATTCCTGGTTGGTGATGATCTGCTCGTATGCCTTGCGATATCTGTCGGCGTCCATAGTGAATTCTAGGGTCTCCAGACAGTGGTTCTGAGAGAGGTATGCCATGAATGCTGCTAGTGTCCATGGCGGCATAGAGGTGTTCGAGAGGATCTCCGAGAGAGTGGGTGGTGTTAAGATGACGGCGCCGGGCATCAAGGCCCCGCTGGTGGGTCTCGACCTCGACATGATCGTGGTGTATTCCCAGTCCAGGACAGCTGAAGCCGGACTGGGTGGTGACAGTTCCCTCTCGGGTGAAGGTGAAGGACTCAGGTAGATGGGGGAGTGCTGTCTTATCCTGGACCTTTTCATTTCCACGCCAAGTTATCTTGTGCAGAAAATATTGGAGTTGCCAAAAGCCGCTGATCAAAAAGACAGCAGTAGACTGGTGTTGCAGGGTAGTCTTGGGCGCCTAGAATTGCATCGATGACCCCATAGAAGGCGCTGGTTGTCGTAACAAACTACAGTGAGTGCAGCCTTTCTTCGGTTGAGACGAATTCGGGTCGTCTTCCACGGAATGTTTCCCTCGGCGGATAGTCTCGATGAAGTGACCAAATCCTACTTTTTGTTGCACAAGTGGATACAGCAAGTTGAGTCGCGCTAAACGTTGATCGACTAAAGATTATCGATGTGGTGTGATATGTTTGTTGTCGTGTTGGGTCGAAAAGAGCGAGCACAGCTTAGATCGTAGAGAGCTGTTGCCGCTGAAAAGGACGGGGCCCACGGGAGGTATATAGCCCAGAGCGTTGTAGATAAGGGCGCTATGTTCAGGCGGGCTTTGGGAGGAGGCTTGCACTAAGACAAGATTGGAGACGCTAGAAGTGTCTTGGTGACGGGAATGGAATTGACTCGTCGCAATCGGCAATGAGTGTGCAAGATGCTGCTTGCAGAATGTCGCAGACGACAGTCAGTTAACAGTAAGAGTGCAGCGAAGCTCCAAGGTAGACCAGTGGTAGTGTGTTCTGAGAGATGTATGCGGAATGCAATCAAGCCACACGTTCGACGGTCATCCAATACGGTCGAGTGTACGATGCGGTACAAACGGGTTCCTTTGGCTGGTGGCTTCGAAGACTGGCGACGTGACGTCTTTACAGAGTCGAATTCGGGAGGGGAATGCTGATCGAAGGAAACAAACGGTATGAGGCGTGGTTTGGTGGTCGAATTCGTCGCTACTGTGGACGGTCTCTCGAAGTTGGTAGGTAGGTATTTGGTAGAACAAGGAAACTAGCTATGAGAGAACGTGGTAGCGAGCTGGTGACACGTGTCGGAATAGTGGTTGTATTGTGTTTTGTGGTGAACACGAGGAATGAAGTCGGCGACGATGTTCGTACGGCGGCAGGCGATTGATGTCGTGTAGCGATATGGGTCTCTCTTTGATTTGGTGGGGATATCAGGCGAATGTGACGGGTGGTGTCGAGGAAAGGATTCGCAGTGGATCGTGAGAGAGTGGAAGAAGTAGGAAGCAGGCGAAGAAGGAAAATGGAACTAGTGAGAATGTCTGTCTTGTGAGATTTGGGAGTGTTTGAGAAGGAGAGGAAAGGTGAAGCATTAACGGTAGGATTGAAGGGGATGGGTAGGAGGAGAGGACATGAGATAGCTAAAAGCGTCCGGTATCCATCCAGTCAGAACAAGTACATGGGGCAAGTATCTTTTGGACGGCGGCCGTACCGTATCATGCCTATGGTAGGCGAGGAGGCGAGGCAAGGAATGGTAGAGTAAGGTCAGGATAGGTAGGTACGGGGCCCGCAAGAGGGAATGCTCCGCACTGGATTAGCGCGCCGGGGGCCATGTGCCTCAAGTACCAAAAGTCATGGGTTGCGAGCAGTATCCGTATGTACTTGGACCACAATGCTCCTACTAAACATAACCCAACGAGGCGTGTCCACGGGTAGCAGTACCTTCATCCCGAAGGTCCTCAGTATCCACCGAGCCACACCTCAGCGAGAAGAAGGGTGAGCGTCTGCGCACCTCAAATCAGATCCATCCTTCCATCACCATGCTGCCCGGGGCCCAGGGCCTTTCCCCCCATCCACCAGGCCAGTACCAGGAGGGTCCCAGTCCACACATTTGCTCTTGCCTGTTGAAGGGAGACCCGGACGAGGCGCTGGACGGGGCAAAGGCCCCAGGATGCATGTGGGCTCTGAGGCAGGGGAGGCCTGTCAGCGGAAGGGGAGTTTGCCAGGGTGTGGGAACAAGTCTCATTGCGATATAGGTGGTACGCAGCAAAAGACCACGAACAAGGTATCGGAGACAGCGAAAGTGCGCAGAAGTAGTACTTGACCAAGGCCATTCAATCGGGTATCGCCGCCGAAGGGAAGAAAAAAAAAAGCACCGACCAACCCTGTACGGAAATGCCTATGGCCCAGTGAACAGTACTTCGTACGTTGTGTGCTTGCAGGGTTCATTGGGCAAAGGAGACAAGACGAGGCAGGAGGCACATCATTGCCCGGAAAGAGAAGGCCAGAAGACAACAGGTGACCAATGGAAGCCAAGCGATGGAATATGCGTAATGCGTTGCTTCTATACTTCCATGTCGCTTCTACTGCGTAGGCCATTCTTCAATAGTACTCCGTAAACAGCGAACAAGCTTCAATGTTCACGCGATACCTACACAATCGTGACATGGCCAGAGAGGTTTGGACATTTCACAGATACAGCTGTACAAAGACACGCTGAAGCTACACCAGTCACCAGCACCGCGGGCGGGTACCGGTGGAGGCATGCGGTGACTGAAAGCCTGGAAGTGACGCGTTGCTCTTGCGACGACACGGTGGCACAGAGGCGGGGAGTCTTTGCTGCGGTTGGGCTGTAGCCTGCGGTAACGTGGTTGCGTGTGAGGACCCTCAAGCTCTCTAGTAATACCTAGAGTACGGGGTATCTGTAGAGGTACGGAGGTGCGTCTCAATAGTCCTTGCAGTGGCTGCCAAGCCCTCGACCCACAATTACCACTAGTTTCGACCAACCAGAGGCCACGGATTATTCCTACCCACTTTACTTACTTTCTACCCCTACCACTACTTATAATAACTACTTTAACCTATATACTGCTATTATAATTATTACAAGGCTTACGAAAATATTAAAATTACTAAAACCGCTAAATTACTATTTTTAAAGCCCTTTTTTTTTTTTAGTATAGATCTTAAAATACTAATAAAAAAAAAGCTAGATCTAAGCGTTAGGGTAGTTATTCTAGCTTTACGAAATCGTATAGTTAGGTAAACTACTAAATAGATATCTTAAGCTCTAAGAATTTTAATCCGTACTATTTTTAACGTTCTTACTTATATAAAAAAGAACGGATTTAACCTAGCTATTTTTACTTTTTCGATTTAACTTATTTATTATAAAAATACCCCCCGAAGTAGCTATTTAACTAAGTAAACTAAAGAGGTTAACGATATTATTATTTATAAAGTTTATTACGATTAGTATAACTATAAAAAGAACTATACTAATATTACTAAAGACTTTTTAAAAAATAACGGTGTTAATATATTAGTAATAACTATTTAGTAAATCCTTTATTACTATAGCTTTTATAAAACTAAGCTAATTTATAAACTAGGCTTAATAAAAAAAATACGATAAGAGCGACTTAAGTAGTACTTCGACTATTAGTACTAGACCCTTGATAATTAAAAGCGGGTTATATAGTTAAACGAGACCGTAGTTACTCTTAATTACTATTATAATAGTTATAAGCTCTAGTACTGCTTAAATAAGGCTTATATTAAATAGTATATATAAAAAAAGTAAAAAGGTTATTCTAAATTTATATTTTAGGGCTCTTTTATATATAAAAAAAAAGGGCCGTATTATTATTAAATTCTTAAGATTATTACTAAAAAAAAGGCTACTAAAATAGAGATTACTTAGCTTAATACTAAACTCGAGCCCGTTCGACGTTAATAATAAAAGCTTGAGAGTAATATAAAGTAAATAGGCTTATAGAACCTACTGGGTTATAAGCCCTAATTTAATTAAAATACGAAATTAAGTAAGTTAATACGGAATAGTAAGAGCGAAATTAACTAGTATAAATACTATAAAAAAATCTTATTACTTAAATTATTCCCTTAGGTTAAAGGATTACTTAGTAATCTAATTGTATAAGAGGATAAGGTACTAGCCTACGACTATTATTTTACCTACTATACTTATAACTTATTTAAAATATAAAAACTTCTCTAACTAAGTAATTTGCCCAACTTTAATCCTATTAAGCTTTACTAACTATAAATAAAAAATAAATTACTAAAAAGGGGGCGCTTAAATCCTAAATAAAAATAATACGTTATTAATAAAAGTACTAATACGTATTATTACTAAAAAAATTTTAAAAATAAATAAAAAAAATACCTTACTATATTAAGTAAATAATTACGCTAGAGGGTAGTAATAAATATAAAGAGGGTTAACGGATTAAATTATACTGTTAAATAGCTACTAATTAACCTTAATTAACGCTTTTTTATTACAAAATCGATAATAATTAATAATAATTATAGTAGCCGAATTCTACTGCTTATATACACCCTAGCTAGCCCCTTATCGACTCCCCTATCTATAGCAGGGGTTAGGCTTAGCAGCTACTACAAGGACTATTGAGACGCACCTCCGTAGAGAGTCCAGCACTCCAAATAGAACCTCAGCCTGCCAGACGGGACTTTCGGCTTGCTAAGGAAGCCGAGTACCCTCCTGAGACTAGAGTCGAGGCAGGCCAGAAGAACCAGAGCATCCTATCGTAGCCGAGAGACGATGGGTTAAGGAACTTGAGTGGTCTTCTTTGCCCCGTCCTTCTGTGGAGTCGTATTGTCGAAAAGGGGGGTTCGGTATTATGGTCATAGTGGCCTTAGCCCCCCCCCCCCCCGGTTCTCCCTTTCTCTTTCGTTTTCTTTCTGTTCTTCTTGTTGTTGTTGTTGTTAGGGGCTTCAGCTTGGAGGGCACGGAAGGCTGGCTTAGCAATCAACAAGGTGTGGGAAGATCACAGTCTGAGCAACAATTGGAAAGTGACCTTGACCTGACAGGATTGATGCACAACAGCGGCAGAAGAAAGGCGGGAAGACGAAATGGAAGACGGATGGAAGACGGGATGGAAAGGAGACGGAAGGGAGGGGAGTTGGGACACAGCCGTAGTGAAGGAAAAGGGGTGGGACAAGCCGTGATCAACTGAGCCCAGCCAGATTGGTGTGAGTGGGGCCTCTCAGCACTAGACTGCGCTAGAAGGCTTCGAAAGAGGGTCCGAGTGATCCAATGATGGCGCTGCATGGGCCGATTGTGCCTATTTAGGGAAAGTCGGTGGAAAACAACAGACACCCAAATGGAAGGCATATGGAACAATTCGATCAAGGGAAGGCAACAGGGGTCATTCTTAGGTAAGCGAATGATGGTCCATACTCTACATAGTACGTGCCTATCTTACCTGCCCAGAGAGGAGCTGATAGGCAATAGGCTGGGCTGGCCCTGACTGAACGGGATGAGAGTGAGGGATCGAAAGGAGCGGGTCGCGGGATTACGGTGGTCTAGGCTAGGTCTTTTTTGCTCTTGTTCTCTTGTTCCCCGTCGTAACTTCTACCGCTTTACAGTTTTCCATCCTTTTTTTTTTTTTTTTTTTCTTTTTTGTGATCGCAGCACATGGTATTTCACGCAAAGCGTATGGAGTATTCGTACGGGGAACCCGTATCTCCTCTTTGCAAAAAAACTCTCTTAACGGTAGCCTCGGCCATTTTGCGTTTGCTCTCTGGGCCTGGACCACCAAGACATGGCCGTTCGGCTTCATAATTTTGGTTCCATTGCCCGTTTTCTACGGAGCACGGAGCCAAGAACTGGGGGTTACGTCGGCTTCGCCTATCCCTCAACCGCAGTCTCAGTCTGTACTTGTATGTAGGTCTCCCGAGTGGCCCCCGGTCATCTCGCCATTTCGCGCTTATTCCCTCGTCCATCGACTCCATTGGCCTTGCGGGAGAAATGAAGCAGACCAGACCCGTCACCGTCATCGTGATCGTGGTGCCGGCTATCCTTTTCACCTGCTTGGCCCATGGCCGTTTCCCCCGTTTCATCCCATCAACATCCAATCACTCGACGCGCTTGTTGCCCATCCACAGTTGACCCCTTCCTCCGTCCCATCTCGTGCCCCATTTCATCCGCTGGTCGCTCCATCAGTCCATCTGCTTTCGACAGACGTCGGGCGCTGGCGCTGCCGCCGGTCTGACTGTCTGACACTTTTGATGGGAGCCCTCGACGCTGTCTGTACAACACATGCCAATGGCGTAATTTGATGTCACAGATTCCACCAGAATGACTGGACAAGACATTTGTTGCCATCTCATATCTCCGTCAACAACATGCGAGACAGGGCTCCGTTTATACAATCAACAAGTAGCATAGTCTCCGCACATGGCCTCTTTAGGATCTGCTCTGAACCAAAGGTACTCTAAGGATACCTACTTTTTTGAGATAGTAGCAACCCTCAAACTTCATACTTGCTCCTCCACAGCGTCAATGGATGGAGTACAGGTAGGTACAGGCTCTTGCAAGTGTAAGACAGTCTCATTCTCACCTACAAGTTGACACTATCCGGACCTTACTTTACATAGAGCACCGGTGTGGGCTCATCCGTGCACCCAGTACCTATTCAAGCCCTCGCTCTCTCGCGCTCACAACTCATCTTTGGGCTATGGCGCCTTCCGTTCCCAATAGATCCCTTGCTATCTCGGCCATCTCTCCGTCTCACCGTCCGTTTCGCTTCCCACTTAGCTTCGGTGGCCGCCATGATTCAATCAGTCGCAGTCGCGCAGTAATTCTCTCTCTCTCAGACTCTCTAGCTGGCTCCGCAAAAAGTGCCAAATGCCAGGAAGTCCCTGGCTCGCCGCTCGTGCGAGCTTACAGAGCTCTTACAGAGCAAAGGTGAGACTGGGAATAAGAGAGAAAAAGGGAGCGAGCGCTGCCAATACCGTTGCCGCCGCCGCCACGTCGCGCCGCGCCACTCGCGGCTCGCACCTCCTTGCAGTTTTCACGTTCCATGGGGCATGGCCGCATGGGTGGTGACAGAGCAGTGGAAAGCGAATCCGTGTTCTCTCAGAGTTCCATGAATCCTCATCCGTCGACTGATCCGAAGCCCGAATCACAGCAGTGAGCAGACCTTCTCCTGTCTGCATCCTGTCGCACGACCGTATCCAGGTAGTATCTGCACGACTGCGTCACTACGCTCGACCCACCAGCGTGAGAAATAGAACATCCGACCAGCGGCGGCCGACTGCTCATGTACGCATACTCGATGGTTGAGGCGAAGCAGCCCCAACACCGGCCGAGTCTCTGCTTCGGTACCGCTGTGGATCATGACAATGGGTTTGACGGGCCGAGGCAATCTTCAGGATGCCGTATCCAATGTTTCCTTCTCTATGTCCATCTCACTGGAAATATTCTTTCCCCGGCCGATCTTGTGCTTGGCACCGTTTTTCCCACATCCATTTGCTCCACGCATTATCATGACTAAATAAATGCCTTTGGCCCAAGTCAACAAGGTCCCTTGTTATTAATATGCGGATAGTTGTTGTATCATCTCTTTGGGTGGTTGCTTTCTCTCGTTCCACCTTCCCCAGATGATAGATCTAGATAGGCATCTAGGGGAGCTCATAATACACATGCAAAACGTACTGTATTGTGGTTACCCGTGTAGCAACACACTAGACGAAGCTGGCCGGGAAGCTTTGTTCACCGTGGGAAGAATGTACGGATGTCTAATTACATCAACATCCACCGACCGCCAATCCCTCACTCGTCCCGAGGTTGAAGACACCTAGGTCCAAAGACTGGTGCGGCGGATCAGCAATCAGAATACCTAGCCATGCTATGGCTCGAATGTCTGATCAACACGCGTGCTAGTAGTATGCGGCATTGGACTTTCCGATTGTGGCATAACGCCACGCGCTGATGGTACGGGTGCGCCATTCAGACGGGCCTGACCCCCTCAGCACCGTCGTCACGTCTCACTTTCAGTTTGACTTACGGGGAGACGGGGAGGTGTGTGGTGGGTTCCTACCGTTCGGCAATGGAAGAACCCACGAGGAGGAGAGGGAAGAAAAAAGGATGAGACGTGGGTGACGCGATGTGCCGCAGTCTTACATATGCCGTCATACTGTTCCTTCAGACAACGCCAAATAGACGCACGGGTACGGTACACCGCGCCTACTGGTCATGGACTCTCTCATTCTCTCGTGACAAGCTCATACTCCTCTCGGAACTGCTGATATGATGGTAAAGGGAGTTGCTGCAGACTGTAGTCTGTTCAGAACCTCAATATCTTTACGGATGGATATTGCATAGCTAAACACCCGATCTGCCGCGTTTTGAGGAACCCCCGGAAGATTAACCCAACCAGGCTCCATCCCCAATGACTTCCAAGCCCGCCCGGCCCCCAGGTACAATTCGTCCAGCACCCCGTCCAGCAAGGTAGGTCACCACCATCTGGCCGAAAGCAGAAAGTAACATTCAAAGTCCTTTCAGCAGAAGGGGAGGGGAGGGGGGTGAGCAACGGCAGAGTTCCTGCAAGGGTGTGCTTCTGGCGAAAAGGGTCTCTGCATCCCGCACCCTTGACTTTTAAAATTCGATGCGATTCCTAGTGAACCAATCCTTCTCTATCCGTACGAATATCACGTCCTCTCCGTACAGATTCGATGGGCCGCCATGCCTGGCTCTGATAGGCCTGGATAATAATGATGTTCATGCCTGTAATGAAATTACCGCTTGACGTTGCGACGCCGCCCGCTGCCGAGCGATACAATATATCGTCAGCTTTATCTTTCCTTATACAACGTCGCGGGGGCAAGAAGTGATTAAGTGGTTGCCTTTGAATGAGATCGTCTGCGATTGATCACAAAATTGAAATCGGGGAAAATTCAATGCAAGCAAGCACCCCGTCGTCGTTCGTTCCCACACTTGGAATTCTGAGACGGACGGCACACACACTCTTACACCCACCGGTTCGGCAGTTGGAAAAAAAGGCGTGGCATTTGGCATTTTCTACCACCTAAAAGATACAATCGCAAACATGCAAATGCTGCCCGCGATGGCGAGGAAGGTCGCTACGGGCGCTGTGGGATGTGGTGATATTGGGCAGAAGTAAGATGCATAACATTCACTCATCGCCAGCCATTTCAACCGGGGGGGAGGGGCACTCTAAAGATGAGTGAGATGCGATGAGTGATTGCCGATTGAGAGGTGGATGATCCCCCTCTGATCGAGAGAACAAAGGTGCTGGCATGCTTGCCTCATCGACTGAGATGATTCGGATGGAAGATCAGGACGTGAGTGAGCACGGTGAGGTAGAATGGGGGCAGACATGCATTCAGCAAATGTCTCAACTTCTATTTTCGTTTTTTGTTGTTTTTTGTTCTTCATGTCGTCCAGTCTAATTCCCCCCTCGTATGACCTCATGCTCACCTCCAACGGAAACCTTCTAGAAAGTTGCGCAAGGTATGTTTCTTCTCCGCCCCCATCCGCCGGATGTCAACCCGAGAGCGCTTACCTACCCTCTGGAAGTCTGGACCTGGAAGAAGAGATGGTAATGAAATCATTGTCGCCGGATCATCAGACGAGCGAGAGCCCCTCACGTCGTTTTTGTCTGCAAGTTGAACGAATTCGTTACCAAGACTACGTAGAGTGCGGTTCATGTGGGCTACGGGACGACCAGTCCGGCTTAGCACAACCCTTGGCCGCCCCCTCCCTGCTCCCCCCAGTCCGCCTCTGCCGCCGCAAGCCGACTCGTTCCCCCCCGCGGCGCCCCATCCGCTTGACCATGCTTCGGGCTCGCACATCCGTCTACCATACGCTACCTTGAAAGTTTACGTACACATTGTCTTTGGGTTAAGGTTGCGATAAAGTCCGCCGGCTGCCGAGCCAAGATATCGAGTATTAAACAAGAGAAACACTAAGCGGTATTGAGGGAACAGAGACTAGGGGCATAAAGCTAGGTAACAAACACGGAGAGACAGATGTATCGTGTGGGATGCCGACACTTCTCTGCCACATTGGGGGAAGCTTTCGTTGGTTCAGTCTAGGTACATCTGCCCCGGGAATAAGAGCACATGGTATGGCAAGTGCTGGTTTGTTCCCGGAGGCGTATGGCGTGTGCGAGTTGTCGGTTGCTGGTCGCAATCAAACAAGGTTACGCAACCTTTGACGGATAGGTATGTGTGGCTGATGGCAAGGCTTGATAGTGTCGATCTGGGGCTTGAGGTACCTAACCATCCGCCATCCACACTCTCATTAACGCAAGTGCAGAATGCAAGTTTGGCCCCCGTTCCGTTCCTTGAGAGAGCAGCCGGCATGAACATTGGCACATAAGCTAGTGAGTGTTGTGGGTGCAGACTTCGTGTGGTATATGCTTTGATACCCGTGATGCTAATACAACCCAGATGTCACGGAGCGGGCTAGGTATGGTGCCCGGCCGCCTGCCCCGACTTGGCTTTCAAATGTCTCAACGTGCCAGTTCCGACTTGAGATTCACGGCATGCGTGACTTGATAATCTGGAGTAGACAACCAATTTATTCCTGTCCCCCGGAAATCCCATTGCTTGGCTTCCACGGGTTTCCCCGGCGTGCCAGGGAAGCACACGTGTGATTCGGGGTGCGTTGTGATATGTATACATTCGGAACCGTTGCCCTGTCCACCCCTCCAAAATCTTCATGTAGGGGAGGTTCTGCGGGCATCCGTACGGCACGCCCGGTTGCGGGCTCTGATATCTAACGAGAGAGTCGTTGGCCGTTGTGTCGTGCTACCTTACGCAACGCGCGCTGGGAGGGTTGCAGTTGCAGCCGTTCCGGTTGCGAAAAGGAGTAAAATGCGTGGCGGCCGATCCATTGCGATGATGCGGGATACATAAGAGGGGAAGGATGAGAGACAGAGACATCGTGACAGGCCCGGTGGATTCGTGCTTTCTTCTTTCTCCCTTGATCCTCCTCGCCCCCTTGAACGTGGTTGGTTGCCAGGTTGCTCAGGGCCTACAAGGTTTTTGGGGGGGGGGGGGTTGTTATCAACTGGCTTCCTTCGCCAAGACATGGTCTCAGACATTCTAACAATCAAACATTGAGATCGTTTCTCACGATTCTTCCGTCTCCGGCGATGGCTCGGTTCCACCTGATTCAAGATGGACTGGTTTGGTTGGTTTGCCTGACTCCGCAGGCCGATCATGCTGTCTCAGGATGATGATGGCATCTGGTGTCGTGAGATTCTTATGCAGCTATTCGAATATCGGATTATTCTTGGCCGGTTCTGAGTACGGATAATGAGCAAAGCAACCAGCAGTCGGCTGATGATCAAACAATACTATCGAGGATTTAACCACGCATCATTCACCACAGTCTACCGGAGGCTCCAGAGTGAACTGTGATGTGATTGGACTTATCAATATTGAAGGTCAGCTGCATCCGAATTTGGCCTGGTTGAGCGCACGTGCAGATCCGGGGTCCTTTAATTGTGTTCTCAAAGGCAATAGTGTAGGCTCTGCCGACCGTTTGCGACGAGGCTTACCACCGTCGGACGGTCACGCTTCCAAGGCGTCCGTCTACACAAACTTGACATCTTAGCCATGCCACACCTAGAGACGAACTACCTGACTGCGATGCCCAAGGTGGTATGCGGCAACGGGACGAATTAGCTTTACGGGCCATAGAATGCGGCTAATCCGTGGCTTACCGTCTAGGTGCTCGTTACGGCCGCCCACCCAATCTTGGCAGCGTGGGTTGAAGCCAGTTATCCACCTCAAAGGAATGGTCGATCACGATCGCTGACAATTGACGCTGACCTGATGCTGACAGCCTGACACTCGGGTTGAGGAAGCGAAGCGCTGCAGAAGTTTTCTTATTATTACTGATTCCTTGCTCCTCTCCCACGCACTCCCCAGGCTTCCATGCATGTGCCAGCCTCCACGTTGATGTGGATGGCCTTGTCGGACTGCGTCGGCCCAATTCCCAGAACATTTCTCCCGCTGCTTCGCGGCAGGGATGTGTGCCGCGCCGTTGAAATGAAAGAAAACGTCAACGAACTTCTTGAACGCTATCCTAACGAGTACGGACGTAGACGAAAGAAAGTGCAAACTTCTACTTCCGCAAAAAGGATGGGGCCGGCCCCTCCTCTTGCTCTTTTTCTCTTTCGCAAACAGCCAGATTGTCTTGCGGCATGTGCTCGTACGAATGCTCCGTGCAAGGTAGATTGATTGCCATGAGGGAATTAGATGCGGATTTGTTGTGTGGACGGTGGCCAGGCTGCGTGGCACAAGTGTCCTTGTGGCCCAGTCTAACGGCGATTCCGTTGCTGGGGCCTCCATGTTCGCGAAGAGTCACCAACTTGCTGCACTTTGGGCTTTTTCTGCCCCTTCGTCATTCCTTTTGGCACTTTTGCTCGTGCGTGGGGAGGACTTTTGGATCAGGGCATGACAATTAATCTTCGGTTCGAATGATTTTCTAAGGCTTCTCATGTATCAACTTCGTGTCGCAAGATTGGAAAGACATCATGTCAATCGATAGCTATGAACTGCTACCGAGCTCTTCCCCGGGATGATCAGCAAACACTGTTTAGAGGGGCTAAAGCCTGGAGATACCGTGGCATCCCCGAGAGCGGGCCAAAGTCCCAAGGATAACGGATGGAATAAATCTAGAACGAAGAAGGTCAGGGAGGGCCCGAAGAGGTGGTGTTGGGTGATGACACAGATCACCGGAGGTAACGCGGGAAAGAAGTGGTGAGTGAGCAGCAAGCGCAATGCTCATGCAGAATGAAAACATATACGAAAACCCAGCTATTGGAATGCGAATAGTTGAGGCTTCTTTTTTTGTCTTGTTTTTTCAACATCTCGGATGAGGGAGGGGGGTGGGGGGTGAGGTGGAAAAATTGACAAAGGGTCGTGTCAAGCCTCAAGAGATGCAAAGGTATGTCGTCATACCTGGAAAAAAGAAGGAATGCGCGGCGAAGCTTCCTGCGAAAATTCTATGCACGCAGGCGGCAGGCGGCAGGCGGCAGGCATGCACACCTACCGCTGTACTTCGCAAGGTACCTATCTACACACGTACCTTACAGTAGTACTCATGGCCATCCTCAGTGCCCTGCCCTTTCCATGAAGAATCGAATCTATTGAGGCAGGAAAGAGCGCTACCAGAATCTGTACCTGCCTATCCATCTGACGTGTCTTCCCTCAGTCTGCAATCCTTCAACTCGTACAATAGGTATCCGTACTTGCTCAAGTTATTTACTTTTGTGAGCTTTTCATGAACATTCTTAGAAGCCCGAACGGTATGGAGTATTTTGGGAAGCTCGAAAGGTACGTGGCTTGCGTGGTTCTCAAAACTGCCCACGCCGTCCGCGTTCTAATTACGGTGCGAATCCTCTTTTGCAAACAGCAGACTGCAGAGACATCTCCATCCAACAACTGCCCACCCACCACGCCACCAATCTATAGCAATCTGCAGCCAAAGTCTATCTAGGTACTCTTCGCGTCCTCTCGCTGATAGGCATTCGTTGTCGCCCAAGCGCCCTGTCGACCTACCGCCCGCCTCAACCTTGCTCGCAAGCTGAGAATATGAAAACAGGCTTGGGCTGTCTGCACGTCTGATTGGTCCCTGCTAATAAACCCGAAGCGGCATGGACGTGGAAGCATCGCGGAAGAGGGAGAAGCCATTGTGGCAAAATGTTTGCTTCTGGAAGCCTTCCCCCTTTGTCCTAGCAACTTTCCAATCTCCGGTGATGTTTACGGAGTATGGCTGGTCCCAACTGGCAAAACTGGCAACCATCAATTGGATCCCGATCCTTCTTCTGCCCCAAAATCTACGTCCGTGGGAGCGCCAACAAACGCACGCGGCACCTCATGCTTCCTGGCCCTTACCATGGTGGAACCACAGGAACTTCTTCTGCTTAGTCGGCGGCTGCGGGTGGAACACAGCACTGAAGTCTGACACTAACGCGCCCACGGCGACGCAGCGGCAGCACCCAACGAACGACATCCGACATGGGTTATCTTGTTCAAACCTCGCTGGAGACCCAGAAGACCATGGAGACCTAGGCCAGCCCACGACTTCCAAGTCACGTATGGATACGGAGTATTCGCTTTCCCAATCCCGGATGCTTGTACGGAGGCACGGAGGCTGGAGCAGTCAGCCAATCGAGCCCGTGCCGGGAACTTGGTTGGATGCAGAGAGGACAAGGCATGCTTGATGGAACTCTGGAAGCCTCTTTGTCACTTACAACACCGCAGCCACGAAACCACCTGATCCCGGACCATGCCGGCCACATGCACCTGGGTCCTTCTCCCTGGGTTTTAACCACCTGAAGCATGGCATAAGACAATGTGTGTCCGTACACTGGTATGTGAGGATCCCTAGATAGTCAGCCCAGTTCTACGCTCCAGCAGCGTGTTGCATTGCGGTGTACGAATACAACAGATGAATGGCCCACGGTACGATGCAGGGACCCAACGATGCGAAAAATCTCCGTAGCGCCGACGGCGTCGCCGGGACCCCGAATCGCACCGCAAAGACGGTGCCTACGAATACTTGTCGTGTCTATCCCACACATTCCCGAGCCCGACATCCGCTCCAACGAAGACGCCCGGCCTCAACTGCCCCAATTCCCCAGCCTTCGCAGCTTCGTAGAACGGTGGGAAGACCGAAGGTGCCCTTGATGCGCCCTGACTTTCGCACCCATTGCGATTTAAACTTCTACCGCAGGACGACGGGAGGCTACATGCCCAGGCGAACCCGGCCGGCCGACCCAACAAATAGGTTACCGTCTCCGAGTCGCGCCGCGCCGCCGATTCAAGTATCGCAATGGCGTTGGGCGCTACACGGTCAACATCCGTTGTTGGGAGGAAACCCGATAGCTCCCAAACCCTTGGGTGCAATCTCAACATACATACTGTTTCCTTTTTGACATTTTAGGCTCAATATGTTGATATTCGCACTTGCTAGGTCATCATCGGTCTAGACGTCTTGGTCTCGTTTTACTCAAGCAGTTCTTTCTGTGGACCTCGACTGACTCTTGACACATTCTCTTCCTCCGAAGCACTGCGGATACAAATTTTGCCCACAATCTCACGGCCGCATTGACAACAAATCTAGAAACACCACCAGCCCGGCCATCAGTCCCCTAATCTCCACAACTAGCGTAAGGTCGGATGGACATCTGTACTCCGTACAGGGACTGGATCTTGAGAGTCTGAGCAGTCTTCGGCTATCGCCTTCTGCGGTCGTCCGGAGCTGTCGCTTGTCGAGGATCCGTCCACCGTAAACAACCTCATCGATCAATAGTGCGATCTCATGGCCAACATGTGGATGCCCATACTTCTTTCTTGCTACCTGAAGTCACTAGGCCGCTCTCTGACCAATTCCTAAACTTACTTGGATTGCTTATTCCGCGCAGCATGCCCCTAAATTCCGCTCTCGAGGCAGGCTGCCACCTACACAGAGGGACATGACTCTTGACGGCCCGCTCACGTTCCATGCCCAAGTACAGACTACAGACACGCAGAATACATACAACTGTACGGATACTGGACCCTGCTCTCGTGCCCGGGTTCGTAATGTCAACGATCGGCAGGAACTTTAAGTCGATCTCCCTATCCCCAGGCTCCGCCGCCCGTCCCTGATACCGCGGAAGAGCAAGACAGGATGAGAATACAGATACTCGGGTTCCATGTTACTTGGACACGTGCAGCAGACACACGCATCTGAGGCGAGTAAAATCTCTTGGCATTCGATCGCTGATTTTGCCAGTAACTTGACTCTCCGCGCCGCCAATTTCAGTCTCATTGCTCTGTTTTGGCGGGCCAAAGGCGGGCAGAAAATATTGCCAGAAAGCGTAAAAGGCGAACCCCGAGTTCCAATTTTCTTGCCATCAAAGATTTGACAGATGGAGTCTATGCGCGCAAAACGGCGTGGGGTTTCCGCTCACCCAGAATTGTCTCGTAAGAAGAAACGGGTGCTACCCGAGTATACAGATTTCTCAACGAACCCCCTTTCTCACGAAATCTCGGTGATTTTCGCCACTCGGAAGCGCCATTCGCTCGACAATGCAGTCGCCTGAGTCGCTGGACCCCTTCAAAAACCCTTTTGAGTCCACGCGAGGAGCAAAGCGGAAGGGAGATGGGGCTGGCTGAGAAGAGAAACCGTGCCCACCTTCTTCCCGCCCGCTTGCCCCCCCTGGGCGACTAACTCACCTTGTGTCAAATCGACGGGACAGCTCAAAACCCCTGGGTCGATCGTGGGAGCTGGACCCTGGCGTTTTACGGAGTCGTGGGAGTTTGGTGGTGGCGCTCGTCAATTTCTCCCCCGTCTCTCTCTCTTTTCCCTCAACGAGAATTCTTCTGGCGTCAATGCTGTCAGCCCGCCTCTTGGCCTCACTCCATAACCCTTGGTAGCGTGGAACACACATGCGTTTGACCGCCGGAAACACCTTTGCCCCTTCCAAGGACCAGAAAAAAAAGAGAAGAGAGTCCGTCGAGCCCCCAACGACAACGCGTCGAAGTGGGCAAGGCTCCCCTGGTCCCCATACCAGTGGCTTCTCTGGGAGAATCTCGTTCACACTCCCGGCCTTTGCATCCCCGCTACGCTACGTGCTCGACTGTATGCTGTTACGTTAATGTTTTGTAAAAATGCAGTCTACACTACTCGTGACATGTGAGCTTGCGGCGGCGGGCGGCGATGGGGGCCCATCCAGCCCAAAGGGGGGGGGGGGGGAGTGGAAGAAGAGTAGAATTGGGATACGATATGCCCCAACCATGAGTTCATGACACCTTGGATCAGAGAAAAGCCAAGGAAACCAAGCATCCCACAAGTCCGGCGCGGAAGGGATTCTCGCCGGCGTCCCGCACCTGAAACTTGGACTTGTTCAACTTTTTGGCTCGGTCTGCCTACCGCGGGGGGGGGGGGGAGGCTTGCCTCCATCGGAAAATCGGTCCCCCCGCAGGCTTGTAAGTAGACATCTTGCTTGGCCCTTGATCAGTCATGGATTTGAAGCTTGCCGCAGTGGTATAGCGTGGTTCAATGTCGGCAAGGAACCGGCAAGAGACCGGCAAGGAGGAGGAGGGGCCCATGGCTTGAGGACGTCGTGTATCCGTACAGTCTCTACAGGTTGTTCTTGTACGCGGCCGGCACCGGACCCGAGCCATTGGGGGTGGCAGTCACTTTGACGAGACAAAAATGATTCAGGCAGGCAGACAGGCAGGTAGGTACACAGTAAGCGTGTGGTTTTGTGTGGTCCCATGGAGTGGGACTGCATCTAACGAGCTGTCACGATATCCATCCCATCGCCTTCGGCAACGCATAGTTGCCTGGACCCGATCTTGAACACCCATGTGATGATTGAAATTTTGGTTGAAGCAAAGTCCAGCCGGCTAGGCACTTCGGCCAAGTCAAGGGGACGGAGGCTTACACATGTCGTTGATGCGGATGAACTCGTCGCAGGGCGCCTGCGAAGGGATTCATAGTTTCACTGGACAGCGCAGTATTAGTTTGCTCTTTTCTCGTGATCAGGTCTCGTGCAAACTTGAAACGGGTGCTCTTTCCATCTATCTTTCCGAGATGTCAGGCACAAACGGTGGTGTTCCGACATACATTCAAACAAACACTTGTACAAAGAATTCCAACAAGCCTATCCACCTGGCTTTTCTGTGGTATCCATCCGAAACTCCCAATATCTTTAGACAACGCCTAGCCACCCGAAAACCACACATCCCTCTCACGAATAAAAATAGTAATGTCAATAGAAAAGTAGCCTAGCTTGAGTGTCCAGCCAAAGGCCAATGCTCATCCTTCCATCATCCTGCTTCGGCTTTGCTCAACAGTATGATTCTTTGATGGTCCTAAAGTCCGTTGGGGCCCTCGGGTCCACCAAACGTACTGCAAGCTTGGAAGGTGTGTATTGGTGTTTTATAGATCGGCGAGGTCGAATTCGCCGCTGAAGCCTTTATTGAGAAGCATACCAGCGATTCTCAGGCGTTGTTCTGGTAAATCCTCGCCCGAGTAGGCGTCGATAGCATTGAGGCCAAGCGCAAGACACATTCCGTTGGTGATAGTAAAGACACCACAGTCGTACCCATTGGTCTGAATAGGAGCCTCATGAATGACTACTTTCCATTCGCTAGCCTTATAGTCGCCACCCAGGAAGGCCTGGACCCAGTTCAAGGCTCTAGTAGTATGCGTGGATGAGCCCGCAGGGTTGAAGGAATCCATATGCGATACGGTTCGCTTCTTGGGCCGGATGACGAGCAATGTCCAATGGTTGTTCTTACAGATCGGCATGAGAATCGTCTCCAGATTGAGAAAGTTGTTCTTGTTGATTCCGTAACGGCGAAGTGCTCGTTCGGTGTTTTGAACACCATTCTCCTCCAGTCTTTTGTAGAAAAATGATCCCATGGCGACGCACACTCTGTTCGGTGCCTTCACGTCTACGGCGCCTGCAGCCACATTGACGTATCGATCCAGCCATTGCAATGCGCCATTGACAATCTCGTCGTTGAGCCACACAGTTGGTGGAACTACCATGGCGAAGTCGTGCTTCTTGAGGGGAACGCTTTCAGCCGTCGTCGCGAGTGTCAGCGAGGGATTGGCTTGCATCGTGGCTTGCACCTTCTCAACCCATTCAGCCGGTAATGAGGTGACTAAAGGTCTCTGAGGAGCGCGGAGTCCACCCGTCTTCAACAATCTCTCCTCTCTTGCCTGTCTAGCTTTCTTCTCCTCTTCTTCTCTTCGGCGTGCCTCGTCGACATCAAGCAATAGCTGCAGGGCGAGAGACAAATCTTCAAGCTCCTCTTCTTTGTCATCCGAGATGGTTAGACCTGCCAGGGTCGGAGGTGTAAGTAGGCTGGATGGGCTGGACGGCAAGTCTTGCGGTTCATCCTTGGCGAAGAATCCCTTAGCTTCAAGGTCATTCAAGGATTTGTTGAGATGCTCCAGCAATTGGGGGTGACAGCGAGCCGCGATTTTCTCGCTATCGCTCTCTTCTGATACATCGTCAGATTTTGGAGTGGCGTCTGAGTATCGATTCGGCATCGCAGTGTAAGGGTCGTCTGACGAGCCGTCAACCTGAGAATCGCTCAGATGGCTGGCATCAACAACGTGTCGTCCCAGTGGTGATCCGGAAACGGTAGGAGAGCCGAAAATTCGGCTGAGGAAGCCCCTTGATTTCGCCGGTGAAGGGGTAGGTTGCTTCGCGGATGGTGAGAAATGCACCCTTTTGAGGCCTCTCGACTTCTGGAGTCGCTTCAGTGAAGCAGGTGAATGGTTGTCTCTTTTGAGGACAGAGATGGGGCTTGGGTTGCAGGCCAAGTCGTCTGATATAATGCCTGGGGGTACATTCTTGTACGTAGCTCTGCGTTGGGATGCGATGTCGGCCAATTGGTCTTTGACAAACGTGTACGCTTCCGTAGTTCTTGCAGGAGGGTAGTAACTTCCTGGTTTTATGATTTCCTGGGCGGGCAGGATCTGTCGTTCATCTGGGGCCTTGATGGAAGGTTCCGCCTCAACCAAAACTTCGTTGTTGGTTTGGAAATCTGGAAAGCTACCGGGCATTGCGATGTCGATCCTCGAGATCGGGTCCTCGGATACCTCGATACCGAAGCTCTCACGCCCTCGAAAAAATTTCATGACCTTGCCAACTATACCAGCCCGTTGAACGAGTCCAGGCATTGGCTTTCGACTAGCCAGAGCGGCTAAGTCAGCGCTGAGTCCTTTGATAATGCGGCGTGAGACGCCAGCCTCAACCAGCACAGGATTGCATTCTTCAGGGAAATGCTCGAATAAGCGCTGAGCCACGGTAATGGCAAAGTTTTCTTCAGGGCTGAAAGTGTAGTCCATGACCGACTGGGGGACCTTGAAGTTCGTCTTCAAACCTGCCAGGAACGTATGAGAGTAGACACTCTCAACTATCCAAGCAGTCTGTCGGAAAGTATCAAGGTATGGACCTAGGACGTAGATCTGCTGCTCCTGGGTTTGGTCGTCAAGTCGAGTGATAGGGGACCCTTCCCTGGATTGCGATCGCCTCTTTTCGATTCGATGGCAGATACTCCTCAAGGTGCGGACAAGAGGGGCTATGTGATGCCAGTAAGCGATTCGCGTCGATTCATCTACCCAAACGAGGTTGATTTTGGATGGTTCCGCATTTGGAGTGAAGCTCTCATCGGCAAAATCATCGACAACCTCCAACCTGATGCGCTTCGTGCCAGTGTTGCCATTCTGCTGACCACGGGAGAGCCGCTCTACAGCGATGAGGTGATTATTGCGGGGGTACACTGTGACTGAATTAGATGGGCTCGTGATTATCTTCTTGAAGCAAGCTAACCGTAGCCAACAATGCTGTTGGAGACTTTTGTGACCGTGCCACGGACTGATGTCATGATATTGGTGAGCCAATTCGTATAAGCTCGAGGTCTCTATCACACACGATTAGCACCTGCCCTGATGTAAGATTACCAGACAACGTACGTCTTCTTCGTTTGAGTCCAGAACGGCAGCGCCTCGAGCGTTCGCGAGCGGCTCCTGCAGAGGCTCCTTCCCATCCGTCGCATTCGCCAGAATGAGGTCGAACTCTGAGTCCTCAGCTGGTCGCTTTCGTGTCGGGGTCGTGTTGGGTGAGCCTTGGTTCAGAGCTCGTGATTCCTGTTCGATAGATTGAACTGTGATCGTCTTCTGGCACGACCCCCGTACAAAAATTCTTCGAGTTGCTGAACCGTCGTTCACTTCTATGAGCGTCGATTCGTTGGGAGTGATGATTGTTGTTCGTTGGCCTGGGCTGAAGAACCAAGCACCCGGGGGTACCACAGATGGCGAGCTGGATTCCGAAGCGGGTTCCAAGCTGGACTCAGTATCCTCAGACTCCGACTCGGCTTCTGAGTTAGAGTTGCAGAGATGAAAGCTCGAAGATGGTTGGGAGCACTTTCTCGTGGAGACGCTTCCGATAGTAGTATGAAAGCCCTGTATTCTTTGGGCTGGCTTGAGAATCGGACCTTTCGGGCCAAAAAGATCGATTCTTCCCTCTCGCTGGATAACGAGGTCCTTCAATCTACGGCGGCGTGCTCGATAGGCAGCGACGTGAGAAGCTGGGGATGGCTTGTGTAGAGTAGGTTGGTGCCGAAGAGTCGCGCTGAAATCAAAAGCCTTCGGCGCAGGTCTCCATAGAGTAGTTGCCGGTCTGAGATATGCGGACTGTTGAGATTTTGGGAAGGGTGTCGCTTTGATAGGGGGCTGACGAATGAAGGGATCCTCCGCAGGGAACCTATTGTACTTCCGGTTCTTTGAGGGGCCCAGTCCTGCGCTGCGCGCTTGAGCACGGAATCGCAACCTCTTGACCTTCGCTGCAGCCGGTGTGAAGAGAGAAGAGCTGGTGGGTCCCGACGATCGCGTGAAAAGGGCAGGTCCTTTCTTCAAAATCCCACGCAAGGGCTCTCGATCTCTGTGAGGCGAGTGAACAGTGTTGACTGAGCCAGAAGACTCCCCGGCCTTCTTAACCGTGGCGTCTGTCAGATGCTGCGCTTTCTGGGCCTTCTGGTGCTCAGTTTGAGCAATCGGCGAATGCGCAAATGGAACTTGGGTGTGGAAGGTGTGAGGGTTGTTGGTAGCTTGAGGATAGGCGGTCAGTTGCTGAGTAGCATTAGTACCGAAGAGGGGACCGTGGTGATTGAGGCCTGGGTTGGCGAGGGAATTGACGAGGGCCGTTTGGATAGGACTGGGTCTGTAAGTTCTAGGCTTCTCGATCTCGGGGGGGTTTTCTCGACGATGTCTGAGAGGATCGAAAAATTCGGCTACTTTTTGAGGGTTCGGGAGGAATCCTCGGCGACTCGGTATCTGCTGTCGGTCTGAAGCCATGTTGGTTAGCTTAGAAGGTGCGAGGCTTGAAGATGAAGTAGAAAGCATTGTGAAGGTCAACTTTGACCCGGCGCGAAAGGAAGCAGGCGAATATGAAAGGTGCGACAAAGCGAAAAAATTGAATTCCGGGGTGTTTACTGTGCTTCTGAAGCTGCGCGATCAAGAATTGGTGCGAAGGCGCTTGGCTGGATCGGCAGGCGGGTTGTGTCGCGATGCTTGAAATCGGTCGTGATGGAAGGTTGAAATCGGTTGCAGGTGGGGGATCTGGGAGGAGTTGGGGGGCTCAAAAGGCGACGCGCTTTTGTTGTTGTGGAAGAAGAAGAAGGTGCACCGCTGTTCCTTGAGAAAGATGCTCAATGTAGGTAGCAACAAGAGGTCGAAAAGGCATCCGCGCCTCAAAGAGTTGCACGTTAGAGGACGGAAGGTGCAGACGGCAGACACGGTGGAGATTGGATTTGAGAATGGAAGTTGCGATGCAGGTGGTGTTTACCTAAGGTACTATACGTAGATCATGTACCTAGGGGACCTTCCATTCCTTGCGACCTACCTAAGCATTAAGGTAGCTTCATTCTTCTAGCAGCTCTATAGCCCGCCCCACTAGCTCAAGAGGTGCACACCCGGCGCTTCAAGGAGCGGAAGGAGCGAAACAGCTTCAAAAATTGACGCGATGTTTTGTTGATCGATCAACCAATTACCCAAGGTACTTCAGGGTACTCTCATCGCAAATGGGCTGCGGCTTGCCTTCAGGCAGCTTTCGTAGATAAGGTCCCTGGGTTCCTCAAACGTCTCAGTCCCCTTCTTTTCCGTCTCAAGCCGCTTCTACTTATATCCAACGGCATCCGCTGAATCTCGACCTTCGTGAAGTGGTTGATTCCGCGCAGGTGGTTTGCACTCTATAATCGATGGAGGGGTGGCAT